AAGAGTGAGAACCAATTATACGTACATACTTCAAATAGAGAGACACAGAAACATTAAAACAAAAAAATCGAAAGAAATACACCATGCAAACACTAATTCTAAGCAAGCTGCAGCAGCTATATCAATATCAGATAAAGTAGATTTCAGGACAACAGGTATTACCTGTTAAAGAACTTAAGAAATAAATAAAGGTACTGAACAATTTTTAAAGGGTCGTCAAAACATAATGGTCCCAAGTGTGTGCACCTAAAAGCAAGGTTTCAAAACACATGAATCAAAAACTGACAGAACTAAAGGGAGACACAGCATATCCACAATTACAGTTGCAGATTTTAATGTCTGTCTCTCAGTACTAGATAGAACAAGTGTATTTTTTTTTCTAAAGCCTGAAAAGGTGTAGAGATTTGATTATTAACCAGCTTAACGTAAGTGACACTACACTCAGGGAATATTCTTCCCAACTCATTCTAAGAGGCCAGTTCTACCTTGACACCCAGCTGAGACCAGGACATTACAAAAAAGAAATGTACACTACTGGTTGGAATGTAAATGGCATAACCACTTTGAAAAACAGTTGGGTTCTTTCTTAAAAGTTAAATACACACGTATCATATGATCCAGCTATTCCACTCCTAGGTATTTATTCAAGATTAATGAACGCATTTGTCCATACAAGGACATGTACACCAATGTTGAGAAGCTTTATTTGTATTAGCTCTAAACTAAAAACAACCCAAATGTCCATCCATAAGTGAATAAAGGAAACTGTGGTATCTATATCTATCCAATGGAAAGCTACTACTCATCAACTAAAGGGAATGAACTACTGATAACATGTAACCATGGATGAATCTTAAAACAATCCATGGTGAGTGAGAGAAGCCAGACCCTCCCCCCCACACATAAAAAGGGTACATACTCTAAGATGCCACATATGCAATGTGCTAGAAAATGCAAATTAATCTATAGTAACAGAAAGAAAATCAGTGTTTGCCTGGGGATGGGCAAGTGGTGAGTAAGGGATTATACAAAAGCACAAAAAACCTTTAGGGGTGATGATATGCTCATTATCTTAACGGCAGTGATGGTTTTGTGAGTGCATACATAGGTCAAAACTTATCAAACTGTACACTTTAAATACAGGCACTTTAGGGGTGCCTGGTTGGCTCAGTTGGTTGAGCGTCCGACTTCAGCTCAGGTCATGTCTCAGGCCGCGGTTAAGCGTTTTGAAAGCCCGTGTTGGCTCTGTCTACAACAAACTAACTCAGAGCACATGATCCTCCTTCAGATTCTGTATCTCTCTCGCTTCCACTTCCATTTTGTGCTCTTACCTCTGTCTCTCAAAAATAAATAAATGTTAAAAAAATTTAATACAGGCACTGTATTGTGTAACAATATGCCTCAATATTGTTTAAAAAAACTTCACCAGAAGAATTTTATTTTCTTGATTATGATGATGAGCATCAACAAACCACTGATTGAACATGGGGCTCTGCTAATTCTAGGATTGTAGCTCCCTATCCTTGAGAAATCAGTTGTGGGAGTGATATTAAAAACCAGGTGAAATCCTAGGGAGTTTTAGATAGGAGTGATTAGAAAATATGTTCTTGAGATCAAATAACTCTACAAACTACCCCAGGTCTTAAAATAATTCAGATGCCTTTCCAAGAAAAATAAGTTTCAAAGAAGAAAATCACTCTCCAAACAAAGAGGAAACATTCCAACATTTTAAGTTTCTTCAGTTCATTTCAGAGTTGGACTTTCTGATACTCTTAATGTGTTTTAATAAAGTATAGGCATTGTGACTTATTTAAGAACAATGACAGTAAATCAATCCATGTAATACACATTATCAGAATAAAAGAGGAGAATCATAGAATCATCTCAACAGGTACAGAAAAAAACATAAAACACCTATTTATGACAGAAGAGTTCAGTAAACTAGGAATAAGAGGTAACTTCAGCTAATAAAGGGCATTTATAAAAACCTACTTCAGCTAATATAATACTTAATAATGAAAATGATCATCCTTAATGATGAAAAACTGAACCTTATGATTATGAAAAAGGCAGAAATACTCACTGAAGTTTTATACTCAACATTGCACTGGAAGATCCTAACCAGTATAGTGAAACAACAAAAAAATACAGACTGGAAAGAAGCAAAGTTATTTATTAGTAAATGACATCAGTATGTATACAGAAAATCCTAAGAAACTCGTAAAAATGTTATTAGAACTAGTAAGTGAATTTAGTAAAACTGCAAGATACAAATTCAATATACAAAAATTATGTCTTTAATAGCAATAAATAATTGGAAAACTGAAAATCATACTAGTGTCAAAAAACATGAAGTACTTAGAGATAATTTCATGAAATATGTACAAGATCTCTACTCTGAAAAATACAAACTATTGCTGAGAGAAAAAGACCTAAATACATGGAGAGATATACCATATTCATGGATTGGAATTGCCAATATTATGATGATGTCTATTCTCTCTAAATTGGTCTGTAGATTCAGAGTAATCCTAAACAGAATCCCAGTTGGATTTTTTGGTCGAAATTGGGAATCAGAAACTCCCCTAACATTTATATGGAAGAGCAAAGTTCCTAGAATTGACAAATATTCTTTAAAAAGAGCAAAGTCGAAAAACCGAGAGTACCTGAATTTAAGGCTATAAAACTCCAGTAAATGAGACCATATTGGCATAAACATAGATAAATAAATCGACAGAACAGAAATAAACTCATACATATTTATGCATTCAACTGATTGTCAATTCAATGCAATGCAATGGGGGAAAGGACAATCCTTCTAACAAATGATGGAACCACCAGATATCTGTATGGGATAAAATTAATCTCAACTCCTACCTCTCACCATTCACAAAAGTTAACTTGAAAAGATCACAGACCTAAATGCAAAGGCTAAAATTTTAAAGCTTCCAAAAGATAATTAAGGAGAATATCCTCACAATCTTGAGGTAGTTAAGATATTCTGGGTAGGACCCAGAAAGCACTAGCCATAGAAAAAATTGGTAAATTAGACTTTATAAAAATTAAAAACCACTCATCGAAAGATACTGTATGAAAATCAAAAGGCATGTTGAAGACTGCAAGAAAATATTCATAGTACATATAACTGATACAAGACCTGGCTCTACAATGTATAAAGAACTCTTACAATTTAAAAAAAAAAATTTTTATTATTATTTTTTGAGAGAGAGAGAGAGACAGACAGAGAGAGAGAGACGGAGAGACAGAGACAGAGAGAGAGAGAGCAAGCAGGGAAGGGGCAGAGAGAGAGGAAGACACAGAATCTGAAGCAGGCTCCAGGCTCTGAGCTCTCAGGACAGAGCCCAAAGGGGGGCTCGAACTCATAGACCGCGAGATCACAATCTGAGCTGTAGTCAGCCGCCCAACTGACTGAGCCACCCAGGTGCCCCAAGAACCCTTACAATTTAATAATACAACCAACCCAACCACAAAATGGGCAAAAGACTTTAGACAATCTCCAGAGTAAAATACACACGTGGCCAATATGCAGAAGAAAGCATGCTCAACATCACTGGTCATCAAGGAAATACAAATTAACACCACAATGACCAGTAAGCACTCACCAGAACAGCTAGAATTAAACAGCCCATCGCCTACAAACTCTGGCAAGAATGTGGAGGAAGTGGAACTCCCATATGTGGCTGGCGGGAGCGTAAGATGCTACAGCCATTTTGGAAAATGGTGTGTAAGTTCTTAAAGAGTTAAACACACTCTCCCCTATGACCTAGCAATTTTACTCCTTGGTATTTTACCCATGAAAAATAAACACGTATGTCCCCAAAAAGCCTCCTACAAACACTTTCGTAGCAGGTTCAGTCATAAGAGCCTAAAATGGGAAACAACTGAAATGAACAAGCAAATGGCTAAACAGGGGTATTTTCATACAATGGAACACTGCTCAGCAGTAAAAAAGAAAAAGAAAGAGTAACTGATACATACAACGTGTATGTGTCTTACAGACATCATGCTAAGTGAAAGCAGCCAGGCGCCAAAGAGTATCGTCAGATGAATCCATTTGTAAGGACTTCCTCTGCAGTGAGCACAGATCCTTCTGGATACTCTCACCAGACCCAGGGTCCTCAAGCCCTAGCCCTGGGTACCACCTGATGAAGCCATCCAGTTCAGCCCCTAATTCTACACAGAACCCATCGGCACCCAAATCTCTAGATCCAAAGCCCACTGGAGGGGCTGTTTCGACCTCAGCAAACTAATCCTCTGTTGGATCTAGCCTAAATCTCTCATATCCTCCTAGCCCACATATCTGGGGATCTAAGGATGGAGCCCCCTCTGACATCCAGGAGGGAAGCTGGGAAGTCAATCAGTGGTATCAGGAGAGTTGGAAGGCTGGGATGTCCCAGCGGAAGGGCCCTTAGAACTCTTTTCCTCCCAGGCCAAGGGAGAAGGGAGAGATTGAGGGCCAGAAACAGGATGGGGCCCGCCCAAGGTCATGCAACCCTGCAACCCAGCTGATTAAACCCAGGGCTTCTGAGTCTTGACTTAGCATCCCTTCCCCCTTTTTACCTTTTCCACCACTGAGGGCAAAAACGGAACTGTCCTGTCTAGTTGGCCATCGCCTAGCCTGGGTTAGGCCATGCGTTGGTTCAGACTGACGCTGTATCACGGGCCACTGGCTCCGGAGTGGGGGTCTCAGGAACCACAGGATTCAGAGGTGCTTGGGGGTGGGGCCACTGGAGGACTTGGATGAACGATGCCCACCCTGAGTCTACCGAGGGAGACTCAGGCTTTCCTGGCTGAAGGGTGGGGCTTTCCCAGCTAATCCAGCTACTGCGGTAAGGTGGCCCGGGTCAGGCCTGGACACCTGGAGGCTGCCCCAGGCCAAGCCCACCTGTACATCCACCCTGCCCTGGCAAAGCCTCGGCCTGTGGCTGGCCCGCCCCTCCCTCCAACTCCTCCAGGCCCCAACCAGAGAAGGTACTCACTGATGGGGGCGTGTAAGGCCACGTGCTCCTGGTAGGGCGTGTAGTACTTGTACTGCTTTCCGCAGAATTCACAGGTGTAATTGCCAGTTTCTGTCCAAGGAGAGGCAAGTGTGGGAATGGGCACGTGACCCCCAGCAAGCAGCAGCAGCATGCTCCCTCCCCTCCGGCTCCCCTCATCCTGGGACCAACTACAACCCTGAGCCCACTGGAGTCAGCCTGCCTGGGTTCAGCTCCCAGCTCCTCCTCCACGTCCAGCCGTGTGACCTTGGGCAAATCTCTTAACCTCTCTGTGCCTCAGTTTTCCTATCTATAAAATGGGGGTAATAATCGGACCACCTTGTAGGATTGCTGTGAGGATTAAATTTATACGTCAAGTGCTTAGAACAGTACCTGGCACACGCCGTTTCTCTGTCCACACTCCCCCCCCCAGACCCTGGTGCTCAGGAAATGTGTGGTGACCAGTGCCAACCTCTCGCTCAGCCCCTCTGCGATGGCCATGCTTGGGTCCCCTCGTCTCCAAGACCTTCCCCGCCCCCAGGTACCCCCATCCCCCCGGCAGAAGGGGTCACGTCTTCCTCTCAGGCCCCACCAGACTTTATCTTTACCTCTCTTTGGGCACTGCCTAACTTCTTTCTTCTTAAAAATTTCTGATGTAATATTGTTCACTGGGGGAAAATTATAAAATACTGATAAATACAAATACAAAACTTAAAGAGTACGAGAAATTTCAATCATCTGTCACCCCCAAACAAAGAGGAGCAGCTGCCCCCTGGGGTGGAGTGTGCAACTTTGCCATCCACCCCCGGGGCCTACCCCTCACTCCCATCTCCTCCGGAGCGGGCTCCTCTCCCTGACATCAGCTGTCTAGCTCCGGTGGGCCTTGAATTAGCCAGCCCTGATCCGTATCCTCTTTGTAACCTGGTGTATTCAATCGACGATACTTTGTGGACATCTTGCTCAATCAATAAACATCGATCCCTACTGCATTTATTGGCTGTATGGTTCCCTCTGGACTTTGAAATCTGCTGAGCCAGTTTCCTGCGCCAGGGGATGTTCAGATCGTTTCAAATTTTTTTCCCTTACCAAAAACAAAACAAAACAAAAAAACAAAACAAAAAAAAAAAAACGCAGTGATCCACATCTTTGTAGAAATGTTTGCACATTTGCTCATCATTTGTCACATCGTTGCAAAGTAAAGATTATTGTGCATAATCTTTGCTCATTATTTCCCCAGGATAAATTGTGGGCATGCATTTTTAAGGCTTTTGATAACCACAGCACCAACTACATATCAAAAGGTTGGGCCAATTTTTATCCCAATCAGAAAGCTGTGCCTTATCGGGAGAATTCTATTGCACTGCTGGTTTTATTTTCCATTTGTTTTGAGTTCTAAGGAAACTGACTATTTTTCATGTTTAATTAACTGTAGTTTTTCTTTCGTGACTTTCCCATTTGAGTTTACAGCCAATGTTTCCATAGGCATATTTACATTTTTTTAATTGCTAAGAACTCTGCAGATTAAGGACATCAACATTTTGCTCTCTATGTCACAATTTTGCTCAATTTTTAAAAATTGTTTGTGGTCTTTCTCTCTCAATACGGATTTAAACTTTTTCATAAATAACTTTTATAACTGATTCATGAACACTGGAAAAGATAGACGATTTGCTATTTACAGGCTTCGAAATTGTTAGATCAACTGTATTAATTATATTATTCAAGCCCTACATGATCCTGTTTGTCTACCTGCTCTCTACAAGACGGTCACGATCAACCTTTCCATTTTGTCATATTCCTAAATGTATTTTGTATTTTTAGATGTGATGTGTGCCGCATTTAAGGCTCACGAAATCAAAACTGTCAGTGTTAACTAACTAACATGACACGATTTTCTAACACGGTGCTTCTCAAAGGGTGGTCCCTGAGCCAGCAGCACCGGTATCGTCTGTCAAACCGTTAGAAATGCATATTCTCTGAGACTTATCCAAGACGCTGAAAGCAAAATTCTAGGAATGGGATCTAACAATCTGGGTTTTAACAGTCCCCCTAGAAAACTGTGATGCAGAGGAAAGTTTAAGAACCACTGCTCAAACTTCTAATTATACTCTTGTATTATCTGCATGTGCCTGAAAACACTTCCCTAAATTGTCTTGGGAAAATTCATTAAAAAGATACTTTGCTAAATGTCAGCCGAAAATGATGAGCAAAAGCAGTCATGGTTCCTGCCTTCAAGGAGCTTACAGTCTGGGAAAGGAGACAGAAAAATCAAATAATCACACAAACTTAACACTGCAACCTCAAGAGGGGCTCTTAAAGGAGATACTTAAAGTGCTATGAAAATCCTAACAGGGAACTCAATTTAGTTAAGGAAGCGAGAGCAAGTTCCCTGAGAAAGATAAAAGATGAGGAATTAACTAAGTGTGTTGCTAATAAACCATTATTTCAAATTAACCTGAGAATCTCTGTCTTCTAATAAAAGAGATTATGCCATTTGCTTTTATTTAAAGCTATAACTGACTTGGTTTTACGTGTTTTATATTTTGTTTCTTTTTTTTTGTGCTCCACCTTTTCTGGTTTCCTTTGTTTCAGTTGTTTGATGAATGAAATCTTCTCTCTGCCTTTCCATTATTCTCCAATATTCCATTATTTTCCAATATTCTCCTTTGTTTTACATAGCATGTAAGATACATCTGTCTGTTACAGTTAAGCACAAAATGGTATTTTCAAGTCTATTACCATTGAGAAAGGCAGTTTAACTCCATGCTTCTCACACTTTTGCATGTTTAAGAATCATCTGGAAAGATGGTTACAACACAGATTGCTGGGCTCCACCCCAGAGATTCTGAATCCGTGGCTTGGGGGTGGTGCCTAAGAATTTACATTAAAAAAAATTTTTTTTAATGCTTATTTATTTTTGAGAAAAGAGAGAGAGAGAGAGAGAGAGCGCGCACAAGCAGGAGAGGGGCAGAGAGAGAGGGAGACACAGAATCCAAAGCAGGCTCCAGGCTCTGAAGCTGTCAGCACAGAGCCTGACACAGGGCTCAAACCCACCAACCACGAGACCATGACCTGAGCTGAAGTAGAACACTTAACCGACTGAGCCACCAGGCGCCCCAAGAATTTACATTTCTAATAAGCTTCTATGAATACTGCTGCTGCTGGTCTAGGGCCCACACCATGGGAAGGGCTGGTTTAACCTACCTCTACTGTATCCTTCACCTATTCCTTCCTTCTCATGTTTTTAAAATTCATTTTTAGTATTTTACAATGATCTTTGTCCTTTGCATTCAATTTTATAATCAGAGTCCAACATTTTAAACTTAGCTTCTAGCTTATCTGGTTTGACCATTTACCACCAGTCCTCCCGAGCTAGGACTTCATTCCTGACAATGGACTCTTCAATGTGCTCTACTGCTTAGTTCCCTGGAGTGTGTTTTTTAAATTTTCGGAAGATGGGTACATAGGAGAAATAGTGGGTTTGGGGGCCCTCACTTTCCCCTTTACTCCTAAATTGTCAGCTGTCTAGATACAAAATTGTTAAGATTACAACCTTTTCCCTTCAAAATGTAGTGTCGTCTTCTGACATTTAGTACCGTACCCAAGTCTGAGGCAAGTCCCCCTTGGGTTCATCTTGGATAACACCTGGCTTTTCTTATGTCTAGATGCCTGTGTATTTTTTCTTTATATTTACAGTTTAAAAAATCACTAAGATCTATTTAGTTATGGGTCTCTTTACATGGAGACAGGTTACACCACAATCATCTGTCATCACCTGAAATATAATGAGCCCTTAAATCTGCACACACAGGTCTTCCTTTAGCAAAATTTTCTTCTATTGTATCTTTGGAGTACTGCTTCTGTCCCACTGGTACAACACCACTAATTATCTGAAACTGGCTCTCCACGCTCTGTATTTAGCTTGTTTTCCTTTCCCCTGGTTATCTTGATCCGTTCAGGTTTCTCATCCCCATAACTAATTCCATTTCTGCAGATCAATTCTGCTCTTTACTATCTATAGTGTACGTTTTAATTCTGCGCTTCTATTCTCTGTTTCTCTGCAGTCCTTTAGGTCACTCTTTTCTCTCTGCCTCTTCGTTCTATCCTGCTGCTCTGTCACCACACTTCAGGATCCTCTTTCACACGGGTCATGCTGTGGACTGAACTGTGTCCCCCTAGCTCCCCAAATTCAATTGTTGACGCCCCACCTCCCCAGGTGATGGTGTTTGGAGACAGGGCCTGTGGGAGGTAACTGGGTTAGATGAGGTCATGAAGGTGGGGTCCTCACGACTGGATTGGTGCCCTTATTACAAGAGACACCAGGGAGCTTGCTTCCACTGGTCTCCCATCATGTGAGGGCACAGACAGAAGGTGGCCATCTGTGAGCCAGGAAGAGGGTTCTCACCAGAACCTGACCAGGCTGGCACTCTGATACTGGACTTCTAGCTTCCAGAACCGTGAGAAAATAAATTTGCTGAAGCCATCCAGTCGGGTATTTTGTTAGGACAGCCCAAGGAGAGTAAGGTAAATCATATTTTCTTATACTTGATTATGGTTGTCACAGAATGTTCTTCTAGATTTTGTAGTAGGGTCATCTTCAGAGGTATGCTTGTCCTCAGAGTCTCCTAAATTCTGTGGAATTTTCACAGATTCATGGTTTGGGGGGTTTTTTTAATTAAAAAAATTTTTCAAGTTACTCTTCCTTATCCACATTTTAAAAAAATCAAGTAAACTGCAGATGAATTCAGACTTACTGTTTTCGATAGACATGAGTGAACTGTCCTTGACCCTCCCATTATCATCGTAGTCATGAGCATGAGAGACCACTGCCATGGTAGTATTTCTCAGATCTGCAGCAGGAGAGCAGCTGACATGCAAGGCCCCTAGGACAAACTGTCTCCTTCTAGAAGGATTCCTCTCCTCTGTCATAGCTCCAGCTTCTTCCTCCCTAATTCTCCAATTTGCTCAGATGATGCAGATATGGAAGGTGTACTTCCCAGCATGCACTGCTTCAGGGTCTCTCCTCTTCCCGGACCAACAAAACTCTATTCGTGGTGTGGTGTGCCTCTCATGGCTCCTCTCACTCTATGCCTTCTCATTTTTAGAGTTCTGTGGCCTTGGCCTGCTTGAAACCCAAGCAGCAGCGTTCTTACCTCATAAGGCAGCTCCTGAGTGGTGACGGGAGATAGTCACACTATTTTAGCAATCTCCGCTCCATAATGTCAAGCTGGGAGCATTCAGGGAGCCAAACCCAGTTCCCTTTGCTCAGTGCAATTCCCAACTGCCTATGGTGTGTGACAATTCCACCGGCCGTCTGTCTGACTCAGTTACTGATCTACAGAACAAGTTTCATCTAGTTCTGTACCTTCCTGGGTAATAGGCACCACTTATTTATTAATGCCTTCCGTGTGTGCATAAAAGACTACGCTAATTCCTGTGCAAACATAACCTCATCTCATCTCCACGACAATCCTGAAAGAACTGTCACCACCCCATTCTCGAGTTAAGGAAAGCGTAGATTAGGGAGATTATAGAGCATGTACGCCCTCACACAGGTATTAAATGTAGAGCTGGGGTTCATAGATGGGGTGCTTTAAAGCTCTTACAATTGGCCGTCTCTCGACAACACCACTCATGTGTTAAGCCCTGGATGCGAGCCAGGTGCTGGGCCAAACACTTCCTGCAGGCATCCTCCAACAGCCTTACAGAACAGATAGACGCTCTCGTCCTCAGCTTACAGATGAGTCAAAGGACACTCAGAAGGGGGATAAGTAGCTGGTAAATTGGAGATGGCAGCATTCAAATGTGGGCCGGATTCCAATTCTACTTTCATAATTATGATGCTGCAGACAGAAGGGCAGTGCTACCCCGGGGCGGCTGGCAGACAGTACTAACATGGCAGGTCACAGACCCCACTGTCCCCGTCCTGTATCTGTCTACGAATGTCCATCATAGAACGTGTCTGATTCCCATGTAGGTTTCCCCACAGTTTAACTTATAGCAGTTTCAGTGTTGAGGGTTTCATCATTTTCTGAGGGAAAAAGAAAACGTGTCATATGCACGTAAACACATGACAAGCGCTATGCTAACCGCTTCGCAAATACTGCTGCCTCTCCCGTTTCTGGAGTGCTTTAAGAGTTAAAACAAAGCAGGCTCATCCTTTACCACGGAGGAGGAAGGAGGGAGAGACAGGATGGGGACCGGACCAACGGCTTCCAAGGGTCAGGGCCAAGCTCCACCCTTTGAAGAGCATCCCCAGCTTCCCTGCTTTAGCTCCTCGACTTTCCTTGCCTTGGATTTCCTCATCCTTTCATTCAGTGTCTGTGTGTCTATTCTACAAACTACCTTCAATCCTTATTGTAGCGAGGCAGAGTCGACAAAGGCCTTTTCCTGTTGGGTGGTAAGCAAGGAAGGGGAATGTGAATTCCTGAAGGGCTGGGCCAGACCCCTCTCACTCGTGAGACTCTACTCAATCCATTCTTCTAGAAACAGCCAAAATAGTCTTCCTAAAGTGCAAATCCGATCAAGTCCCTTCCCCATGTGGTAAACTCTCAGGCTCCTTGTCCCTCAGAATGAAGTCTAGATGCCTTCCTCTGGCATTCAAGGCTCTCTCTCAAGACTTCAACTCAGAATTGATTTGCCTTTCAATTCCCAGAACGGGCGCTGCTCTCCCACTTCCGCCTATGACGCAAGAGCTCATTCCCCACCCTCGTCCCCAGGCAGAAGCCTCCAGGATTCCCGAGGCTGGCCAGGTACTGCGCCAGCCCCCATGGCTCCTTGCACTTCAGGTTATGCTGGAACTATCTGCTACTGACCCACTGCCCCCTCCCTGTACCCAAGGGCAGGGCCACAAATGCCCCGTCCACTGCTGTGTCCCCACCACACTCAATGCAAGTATGCTGAGAACAGGCAGGCCGCTGTGTGACTCCTGCCCTCAGGAGTTTACTTGGGACAAGGACAGAGTGTCTACATGTGGCTCCCCTGGACAGCTTCATTTGCTGAGGAACCCCTTCAGATGACGAGAGTTATTTTCCGAGCACCTACTATGTACCAGGCACTGTGCTAATAGGTGATTTACATTCACGATCTCATTTAATCCCCCAACAAACCTTCGGGGAAATGTCATCCTCATTGACATGTAAGGAGCCGAGGCTCAGGACGGCTAACAGACTACCAGGGCACCAAGCCTGTGCTACTTTCACTGCCCTGACCATGACCCTGTGCTGTTCTGCTGCTCCTCAAAAGCTAAAGTCCTAAGACTGGCCCATTTGACAGGTGGGCAAAGTGAGGTCTAAGGAGGTCAGTGGTCACTGGCCAGCACCACTGTTTCAGGATAAGTGATGTCACCCTCTTCCAATGGCAAGACTTAGCCCTCAGCCAGTCTCCCCCCACCGGCCCAGCCCAGCCCAACCCCAGAGAGAGGCCCGCATACTTGGCCCGATTTTCTGGAACGGTTCCGGGGGTTCCTCCTTCACTTCGTCAGTGGCCACGACACCTTGGTCGAAGGGGTCTGTGGGAGAACACACAGCCCTTAGCGCCCTGGCAACCAGGTCTTGGGAGTCCAGCCGGGCACAGGGAAGTGGGCAGCCACCAAGGACTTACCTGCCCGATTCTCAGGGGCCCCTTCCACACTAAATACTGCACCCGGGCAGGAGGCAGCAGCCGCAGAAGGAAAGAAGCAAACGGGAGGCCTGTTAGTCCCTGCCCACAGCTGCCTCTGCCCAACGCTCCCAGCCTCTGGGGCCCAGGAGAGCCTACCCTGGCCAGCATGGAGGCCCCGGAAAACCAGGGGCCACAGGAGGGCACATCCCAACTGGGACACAGCCTGTGCCTCCATTCCCCATCCACCCCACAGGCTAGGGTCCAACCCAGAGGCGGGCAATTTCTGCCTGGCCTGTTTCTGGGTCGCCAACAGCTACTTGAGGGGCCAGGGCAGGAGAAAAAAAGGAAGAGACCAGTAGGAAAAAAGAGGCGATGTGAAAAGGACAAGCCAGCGGGAGTGAGTGGCAGGGCCTGGTTGTCACAGCCTGCGACGGGCTGGGGATGTGGGGCTGGAGTGGGAGCCCCCCTCCATCCTTTCCAGGCCCAAGACCCTATTTCTAGGATTGAGATTCTAAAAATAAATTACCTAAATTTATTGTTCCAATTTCTAACTCTATAACTGAAGACACTAAAATACCATCATTCATTTTAAAAAACTGGTTTAATTTCATCAGAGCATGTGAATACTCAGTATGAAACTGTAAAATGCATTGATATGAAATTGCTAAAATTCGACGGATTTTGACCTACAAAACGCAATTTCACTTGGGTTACCCTAATCAGAAGTATGTATGGAGTAGGACGGGGACCTTCTCTCTCCCAGAATCCTCAGGGTTCAGTCACTGCCCTCCTGGTCTGACTGCCCTCTGACCTTCCTCTGGGTGGGAGGAGGGCGGGGACAGTTGGTGGGTGGGGTGGCAGGGGGACAA